AAGGATGGGCAGAAAAATCATGGGTCGGTCTTTGTTCCCAGGTCACTCAGTGGCTAATCTCTCCCAGGCCGAGGAGGCAGTGCAGCACGGTGCTACCTTCATCACTCACCTCTTCAATGCCATGTTGCCGGTGAGTAGCTGAGGGTCCTTGCCCTGCACTGGTATTGCTTTTGGTGCTTTCTCTCCTGCTCCCCACGGATGCATATGCTGCCCAGCTTGTTTCGTACCAGGCCTTGCAGTGAGGTTTCAGCACTGAACTTCTGGCTTCACATTTCTGCTGCCTGATCTAAAAGAGAGTCAGGGCTGTAGCAGACTCTTGAAATTCAAGGAAATGCCCAGATTTGTCTGGTAAAGGGCAGAACGCCCAGCTGCCAGGCACTGTTCGATTGCTGCGTCCCGTGACGGGAAGGGTCTCGGCCCACGAGTCCTGGTGCTGCTCCACAGCTTGTCCTCTCTCCCCTCGGCAGTTCCACCATCGCGACCCCGGGATCGTGGGGCTGCTGACAAGTGACAAGATTCCTAAAACGGAGGGTCTTCTACGGCATGATCTCTGACGGCATCCACACCAACCCTGCCGCCCTGCGCATCGCCCACCGAGCCCACCCCAAAGGTGAGCTGTGCCAGGCCCGCGCAGTGCCGCCAGCCATCCCTGGCGCTGTGCCGTCTCCCACAAAACACTCACGCAAGTGCTGTGGCGTGGTGCCCTTGCTGCCTGAAAGAGGTCACAGCCATGTGTGCGGGACCACCCCCCCTCTTGCTCTGGTCGGATGTGGCTAGAGAGACCTTGGCCCCTCGGGGAGGGCCAGCGTGGCACAGTGCTTGGTGCTGCGGAAGGTCAGCTGCAGAGCTAACGCAGCCTCTTCCCTTGCCTTCCTCAGGCCTGGTGCTGGTGACGGATGCAATTGCTGGCATGGGGCTGGCACCCGGCCGGCACACGCTGGGTCAGCAGGTGGTGGAGATCGATGGGCTGAACACCTACATTGCAGGTACGTGCATCTTGCCGAAGGCCTGGGGACGGCGCTGCTGCACGTGCCCATTCCTGGGGAGTTCAGCACAGCCTGTAGTGCCTGCCTGTGAGGCAGTGCTTGTGCCATCCTCGTAGGTTTTGGTGCCTGATGGCTCTGCAGGGACTTGGCCCACCTTGTAAAGAGGAGACGTGCCCCATCTTCATGGAGTGAGGCGGAATCTGTCAATCTGTAGCTGGCAATTGCTGTAGCAACACCTTTTGAGTGCTTCCTTGCCCAGTGTCATCCATGTGAGGGGTTCCAGCGGGGTCAGAAAGGGCAGAGAAATCCTACAGATAATGTCCCTTGTTTCTACTATAACACTACCACTTCTTGCTAAGTTCCCTAAGCTGCAAGCAGTTGGAGACTGGGAAGGTTATTTCAGGGAAGGATCCGAGTTCCCTTCCTCTATCCTGCGTTGTGAGCTGGTTCCCCAGTCCAGCTGGTCTTACGGCGGAGCTGTGGGGTGACATCCCAGTCCCTCTCCCTGTGCTCCCAGCACAGGCTCTCTCCCTCTGCAGCAGTGGCTGTGAGCCCTTCAGCTTGCTCCTTGTGTAACCCAGGATTTCTGCCCCTTCTGGTCACATTTGTTTTCCCACCACCCTGCATCTTGCTGTGAGCTGTGGGACCTGCTGAGTGCCACCCTGTTGCTCTCCCAGGCACAAAGACCCTCAGCGGCAGTGTGGCGACCATGGACACGTGTGTGCGACACTTCCGAGAAGCCACAGGTGGGTCAGCCTTGTCCGCAAGCCGCTGCTCCCTATGTTGGTGGGGAAGAGGTCTGACTCTTGCCAGCTCTGTCCCTCTTGCCTGAGGGACGTTCCCTCTTGCCTGAGGCCTGATGAGAAGGGCTGGGATCAGCAGCACTGGCCTCCAACAGCACCTTTTTGAAGGGCGGTTTCATTTTAGCCCGTAGCACTAATGACGGGTGAACCCTCCTGCTCCTTCCTCAGAAAGGTGATGGCTTTGCCCTTCCCATACCCTCGGTGTTCAGTTCTCCTCTTCCTACTGTCTCCCCTAGGGATGTTTCCCCTGCTGAGGGTGTTCCAGCTCAGGCCCTTTAGCCAGGGGGATTTGGGCTGCTCTGGCAGCGGGGCTGTGGGCTGCCCTAACGTCTCCCTCCTTCTCTGTCCAAGGCTGCTCAGCAGAGACCGCGTTGGAGGCAGCATCTCTGCATCCCGCCCAGCTCCTGGGGATTGAACACAAAAAGGGGACACTAAATTACGACTCTGATGCAGGTACTGATATGGGGACAGCAGGTAGCGGTATGGGGACAACGGTGTGAGGGCTCCTGGGTGCTGGAGCAAAGCAGGGGCTGCTGCAAACGCATCTTCATCCCCTGCTTCAGTGGGAGCTGCAGGGAGACTCGCTCTGGGCTTTTTGCTCCAGTGGTTTTTCTGTTGGACGCTGGTGGTTGTTCGTGAGCACTTTGGAGAGACCCCCACATCTCGGCCAAGCATGGAGCAGAGCTGCCATAGCACGGGTGGCTCCACGCTTGTTCCTGGCGTGGGGAAAAGCCCCTCCCCACTAAGCCCAGCTCTTTCCAGGCAGCTTCAGCTGCTCCGTTTCTCTGACAGCTGCTTCCTTTCTCTCTTATCCCATGCAGATTTCCTGATGCTGGATGACGGTCTGTACGTGCAAGCCACGTACATTGCAGGCGAGGAAGTCTGGAGACAGGATGCGTTAGGCATGTGACGCTGGCCTGTCCTGGTGCCCTCCGAGGCTCCCTGGCGCTGTGGTTAGCAGCTTTGGTACCCACCCCACTTCTCTCTTTTTTATTTTTTTTTTAAATTCCTTCCTGCAACTCCCTTAAAGGAGCCTCATACCAAAGAGCTGCGTTTTCCGGCGCAACTGCTGCTTCCAGTTACAGCCATGCCTGCAACAAATTTGTTGGTGCTCGGTGGAGTGGGGAAAGCAGGCAGATCTGTGCTGGGGGAGATTGTCAGTCCCCAGAGCCACCTGAAGGACTGCACAGCTGTCCTGCATGGAGTCCCCAGACAGAGGTGCTCTTTTTGCCATCTTACAGCAGTGTGAAGCTGTCCCAGCCTCTGCACTGTTTCGTACAGCACACGCTAACCTGCCCCCTGCCCGAGGCAGGCTCGAGCCATTTCCATTCCTCTGCCTGCTGTTTGCCTCGCTCCCGGGCAGCCATGGCTGGTTAGACATCAGCTTCCACCAGCTCAGCTCGCAGCTCTTCACGTTAAAAGGTTCCTGTTGTGTCAGCAGAAGTTGAGGATCATGTGCTGATCTCCCAGCAGTCCCTGTCGGGTGTCCTCGGAGCAAGGCTGGCACAGCTCACCGACTCAGTGCCATTGTGGGGCTGTGAATCCATGTGGGCTAAATCCTCAGGGCAGAGATCAAACCCAGGAAAAATGAGGCATTGCTGGTCCTTTGTGCCTTTTCCCTGCATGGGCATTGAGTCCACAGCACGTGGTTTCGGCTGGAGACATGGACAGCATCCTGCCACAGAAAGCACTGTTCTTCCTAACCCTTTGTCCTGGCTCGATGGGTTCTGCGGGCTTCGTGCCCAGCCATACCTAGGAGATGCCTTTGCATCATTCGAGGGGCTTGTGCCTTCCTCAGGCCACAGACGGGAAGCTTTTGCTTTAGAGGACGTGTCCAGACTGATGATTCCAGGCTCACAAGCCCTCAGTCCGGCCCAGGGACTGAGGGAGAGGAGAACTGCAGTGGGATTCTGGCCTCCAAAACCGTTGCTGGTAGCTCATTATTCCTGTGCTCATTATTATCTTCTCCAATACTTGACTGTCAGCTCTTTTCCTGACATTTGGACACTTCTGTGAGCAGACTGATGATTTTGAATCCACAGCAGTCAGAAAAGCCTTGTGGTAAGTCTTGGACAACGGCTGAGAAGCCTCAAACCAATTGGGTGTTTTTGTAGTGGAGGGAGGGCTTGGGCAAGGGCTGAGTCTGAGCAAGGCTGGAGGCTGTAAGGCACCACAAAAGCCTGGCTGGGGTTGGCAGAGGGGTGCGGATTTTTCCAGTATCTTTTTATAACTTTTAACAGCAACATTTGGAAGTGCTTTCCTAGCACTTTAAAGCCCCGCTGGAATAACTGGCAGCCTCGGAGAATTTCTAACATCAACCGCCCATGTCGGCACAAACTGTAACCTCCGTAATTCGAAGCATTTGGAAGAGGCATCAGACACGGTGCTGTGACATGTGCCGCAGCATCACCCATCTGGGCAGGGCGCTTTGGGCTGCTGTTGAAAAAATCCAAGAGGAAAAACATGCGTATGAAACAAGGTGTCTTTTTTTTTTTATTTACAAAATTAAATAATCAAACGGAACTCTGAAATAGAGGTGGAATCAGACGATAGCTGTTGAGGTGCGTTACCCTTCTTTCTCTGCTGGCGGTACGCCGTCCCCTTCCTGCGGGCTGTGGGGCTGGGAGGCGAGCCCGGGCCGCTGGTCTCGGTGGGGACAACTTGGGGTGTCGTGGGCTTTGTCCCCAGGGAGGAATTCCTTCACAAAACTGGTGAAGGGTCTGGA